TAAAACTCTTAGTAAGAAACAAGACTTTTCTGTAGAAGTTTACTATGATACGAAGAGTCCATATTTTATTTGTCAATGAGTAACTATATAGTATAGCAACTATAATTGGTATACAGTATATGCAATGACTTATACTAAAAAGGGGTAAATCTTTCTATCATAAATGTACTCTAGCAATGAGTGCTGTATACACTAAACTGTAAAAAAATATAATATATCATTATTATTAATGGTTTTATATTTTCATTATTACTACTACTACTAAATAAAAACAAAAAAGAAATATGACTGTTGTCATATTTCACTGTAAAATAAAAAATAGTTTAAGAAAAAATTATATCATAATAATTTTATTTTACATTACAACTGTAAAATGTGGAGGGGAAAAAAAACGGTTTGCTGTGTTTGTTTGTAGGGTTGCACAACTTTGCAAAACTGTTATTATTATTATTATTATTATTAAAAACAAAATAAAAAATATACCTATTGTATTATTTCACTGAAAAGTGAGTATTTAAGAAAAATAATATAATACTCATTTTTATTTTACATTGCAACTGTAAAATTACAATACTAATATTTATGTCTTGATTCATTTTTAAACCTTAAACCATGAAACTTATTTTGATGGAGAAAAAAAAAGAAAAACGCAGAGAGACCCAAAGCTTCTCTTCTTTTGATAAGTGATCAGTTTGGGAAGATGGCTGCAGCAAATTCACATTAAAGCAGCTCTGAGCAACTCACATTAATAACTCAGAGCAGACGCAGCGATGCAGTTTGTATGGAGCATTATTTACTGTGACAAGAGACGCTAAAAACACCAGATCATGAGCTGCTCATGTGTAAATGAACACAGTGCTGCGCTTCGCTATGAAACACACAGCACGTATATTTAATTACTTAAACTGCAGCCTTTGTGATCTGATAATCTGTTAATAGTTAACTCTCTCTGTTTGTCTTTCTCTTTCTCTCTCTCTGTTTGTCTTTCTCTTTCTCTCTCTCTGTTTGTCTTTGCAGACTCAGCCAGCCGTATGTTTACCCTCAGGCCTTCCTGCAACCCAGTCTGGTTCTGCCCGCACAGGTCACCTCCAGCGCCACGACCCCTTACCTTGACTTCAGCACTGCCTACGCTCAGTATGCCTCCTCAGCCTTCGAGCAGTATCCCTACGGCCCCTCGCCAGGCTTCCTGAGCTACATGTACCCTCCAGGCACCCCCGGGCCCTCCTCCGCCACAAACACCCCGGTCCCCACAGCCCTCCCCTCCATCGGAGGCGCCCCCAGCACAGCCTTCATCCAGATCCCTGCTCATCAGCTCCACGCCGACCGCCTGTAGATCAGGCCACAGGGACCCACTGAGTATGCTGAAATTGCACTAGAACATCATCATTTTGGGACAGGGAACTGTGACATCATCAGCCTGAGACTGGGGGCGAATACAAAGGGCTTCGAGTTTTTCAGCTTTTCATCATCTCTAAGTTTATGGACTTTTACTCTGACTGGTTACTCTTTATGATTAATAACTATATTATTGTCATTATTGGAAGAAGATTGTTGAATAACCAATATTAGATGAATAAATGATGGATTCCAGGGTTGTAATGCAGATGGATCCAATGAATGAGAAGAAATGAGAGATTATACACACACACACGACAGTTCAAAAGTTTGGGGTCTGTAGGATTTTTTTACGTTTGTGAAAGAAGTCTCTTATTCTCACCCAGGCTGCATTTATTTGATCAAAAATACAGTAAAAACTCTTAATATTGTGAAATATTATTGCAATTTAAAATAATTGTTTTCTATTTGAATATATTTTAAAATTCAGCATCATTACTCATACATCATTAATCTTCAGTGTCACATGATCCTTCAGAAATATTCATTAAAATGCTGATTTGCTGCTCAAGAAACATTTCTTCTCATTATTGATGTTGACAACAGTTGTGCTGCTTAAATATTTTTGAGCAAATATTTTTAAGGATGTTTTGATGAACAGAAGTTCAAAAGAACAAGATTATTTCAAACGGAAATGTTTTATAAAATTATAAATCTTCCACTTTTTATCAATTGAATGCATCCTGGCTGAATAAAAGTATTAATTTCTTTCAAAAAGCCGTTTCTGACCCCAGACGTTTGAACGGTTTTGTGTATTATATATATATATATATACCGCTAAGATTGACAGGTTTTTAAGGTTGGATGGTGTGTGTCTCTGCAGTTATATCTGTTAAGCACAAAGCCTTAGAGACTTCTCCAATTTTTCTTTTATATAGCTGTTCTCATGACACAAATGTGCTTCCCTCTATCCGAGCGAAAATATGTGAATTTTTTTTAACCAAATTTTTTCCAAGAATAGATAACTTTTCTAGAAATGTAGCATTGCAACAGATTTGTAATTCTGCTTATCACTGTGCATCACCTCTGTCAAATGTCTCTTCCGTTCCTGTAGTTTCTCTTTCCTCAAGAGTCCTCGCAATCTTAAGTAGCTCCACATAGATTGTAATGACATTAATCTAGCATTCAGTAACACATGGATTCAAGATGCGCTGTAGCTCGCCTGTGAATAATCATGAGGAAATAGACATTGAAACATTTGAGTATTAATCGTATTCTAATTCTGTCTCATCTGTGATGCTTTTTAGACTCCGTTTTGGTCTGCTGAAAGGACAAAAGAAAGAGTATTGTGACAGATGTCGGTGGTTGCTTTTGGTATCACTCCACAAATGACACTACAGGACAAAATGCCAGCAGGAAAACTTGACTGATGGGACGTTCGAACAGCACACGTTGACATATTGCCAGGACAATCTGTTTGTTTTCACAAAAACAGTGTTGTCATTAATCTGCCCTGAGACATTCAACTCAAAATAAGAAAATACCTTACAGTGAAAGCCATAAGACCAGAACATGCAAAACATGTAATAAAGTCAATTTGCAAAAACTGAGCTTATCTAATGTGGTTATTTTGAAGTTTGTATATGTTCTACTGCTTTCTTAAAGAATCCCATCAAGAGTTTGTTTTATTTGCCACCCTGATGCATTGTTATATGGTTCATATGATTATATTTTATAGTCAGTTTGTATGTTTTCAACTTGTCAGTTTAGTTTTTTTTTTGTTTTCACAAAAACAGTGTTGTCATTAATCTGCCCTGAGACATTCAACTCAAAATAAGAAAATACCTTACAGTGAAAGCCATAAGACCAGAACATGCAAAACATGTAATAAAGTCAATTTGCAAAAACTGAGCTTATCTAATGTGGTTATTTTGAAGTTTGTATATGTTCTACTGCTTTCTTAAAGAATCCCATCAAGAGTTTGTTTTATTTGCCACCCTGATGCATTGTTATATGGTTCATATGATTCTATTTTATAGTCAGTTTGTATGTTTTCAACTTGTCAGTTGAGTTTTTTTTTTATTTCTTTGGAGCTTGTTTTGTTTCTGCAGACAAATTCATTGAGAGACACGGAAGTATACATGTGCTTACAATGAATAACCGAAGGCAGTTTAACAACTGCTTCAAAGGAAGAGCTGGAGTGAATCCAAGAGTTCATGGACGAGCATACAAACCTATGCAAATGAAGGCAATGGAAGGCATTAGGTCTTTTTATATTTTTGTGAGTAGGCAAACTATCACTATGGAAACTACAGGAAGTTTTATGCATGAAGCCTCAGACCTTAATCCAAATGAGCACCTGTGAACGACTTTACAAACAGTCCTCCGCCAAGCAGATGAAACGTTTATGCACTGTGTATGGTGTTCACATTATATTGTGCAGTTCTTTTGTTTTTCTGACAACTCGGGATAATAGGCATTTCTCTTGTGCACCACCTGCATGTCAAGTTGGAAAATTAATACTGGCAGATTTTGAACATATTTACAATCCTGACCCAGACCATATTTAGGGAAATCAGTGTCGCAGTTAGAAATATATATTATATTACTAAAAGCTGTTTCTGTAAGTCCCTACTGCCAGATGCTGTGGACAAAAGGCATCTTTCTCCATTGATGGTCATTTAAAAGTAGCAACAAATTATTCAAATCATAAGTGTTATTAAATCATATCGATTTTATTCTGAGTTACCAAATGTACAGTAACTAATTTGATATCATCTCTATCTGTCTGTTTAGTCCTTTCATTTAGTTTGATTTACTGTATTTATGTTAATATTTACTGTAGTTATTGTTTGTAAAGTTGTTAATCGGTTTTATTAAAGGCTTTCCGAGTTTTATGACCGGTCAGTTGGCGGAGACTAATGAACAGGTAGGGTGGGTGGTGGCATAAACAAACAATCCCCATGACTTATAACTCTAAATAGTTCTCTACAAAATTATTGTGAAAACATGTAAAACTTGTTTAAGATTAATATATGCTCAGCAGTCCACACACAAGCTTACTGGTGCACATAATGTTTGGACTTACATTTTTATGCGCTCCTTGTTTATCGTTTCAAGATGGCGGCGCTGTGTCGTGAGAAACCCGGTCTCCATCAAATATCAGTAATACTAAGTAGCCTACACATAAACGACATTAAAATATGTAATTTCTTACTATATAGTATAAAACAAAATGGAAATTCCTTTCACTTGATAAACTGCTCAAGTATTGGGGGAGGGACATTCATTATATACAGAATTTTATTGGACAAGAAATTGTTGAGCAAGATGAGTCATCAATATTTCTGATCCGTTTTCCCTAGAGAGACTGCGAATTTTAAACTGCCTATAGCATATCTACCAAAGGTACATTTTGATTTCATGGAATTGAGTTTGTGTTTTGTCTCCCGGTAATAACGTTTTTACCATTCTGTTTTACTGTAAACAGGTACTGGTCATTTTTCTTGTTCCCAGTTTCTATTCCTAAATGACTTTATCTCTCATTAAACCCCGCCATAATAAAACTCTAATGGCAGCTGAATGTTCTGAGATCACAAGCTGTTGTACAGCGCCATCTGGTGTTATTATTAGTTCCTGCATCATTTATACTCTTAAGCAAAATGTAGCGTGTGTGCATGTGGTACATACAAAGAGCCTCTTCTTTTTCATGTATTTATTTGCATTCAGATATGATTCATATAGCTTTTTTTGCCCAGTCATGGATGTTATCCTCAAACAAGATTTAATGAAAGGCAACACAGACACTGTAAACTTGAGAAGTAATTGAAAAGACTGGTGGCAAACGGTGTTGTGCTCAATTTTGACCCCCCTGCCAAATTATTACCCACCTCATTCAAGTCTCTACCTGATTGCCTAATCCTAACCCCACCCCTAAACCTAACCCCTCTCCCACACCTACTCCTAAATTTACCAATACTGGGGGGGGGGGTCAGAATTGGGCACAACACCTGTTGTGTTTAAAACAGCTCAGTCCACAGGTGGTTTGTGTGAACGTCAAAGTGAATGGAATATCATTGCAAACAATACAGTTTGGGGTGTCTTAGAGTCCCGTAAAAATAAGGGGAAAAAACCATTAGCATGGTACAAACGTTAGCGAGCTGTAATGATAAAAACCCAAAATAATTGCTCAGCAGACAGACACACTCACACATACACTTGGTCATGCACAAGCTAAACACACATACATACCTGGGCACGTTCTCCCTCACACACACAAAATGACCCACTCACTTGCACACCCACAATAACTCTCACTGATGCATACATCCACATCTTGGTGTTGTAGAAAACGAAATTGAAAATGAATTGTGAAAGTGAAGTCAGATGAAAAGTGAAAAGCATGCCTAAATAAACAGCTCTAGCCCCTCCCACACCCTAAACCCCACCCACACCCACCTGAACCCCTGCCTCAGCTCTGCCCCCTGCCCTGCATTGAAATTAGCAACAAACCTTGAATACTAAACAAAGTATTGTACTCATTTCAGCTCCCTTAATGATTTTTGCATGGATGTGTGACCCTCAGTGTGGGAGTTTATTAACTGAGGTATACTGAGTGTTGCTTGAGGCGACGAGATGGTCCGGTGAGGTAGAGCCAGATTTCGGTCCACAGGTTCTTAGCAGGTTTATAGGGTTTGAGTCTTCAGCTCGATGGGCTCCCCGCGGGTCTCCTGCTGCTTCTCGGCCTCTGGGGGTCGGCTGCCTTTGAGAGTAGCTAGCCGCTCTGAGAGATCCCGCATACGGGGAAACAGTATGAAATCATACAGGATGGCACCCATAGCACCACCAATCATAGGTCCCACCCAGTACACCTGTCAGAAGAGAAAAAGAAAGTCACTAAATATTTTTTTACTGTAATTTCAGTACTTTACTTTGCGTTTCTTACCCAGTGGTTGATGAAATTCCTCATGATGACAGCAGGAGCGAAAGATCTAGCTGGGTTCATGCCAGCTCCGGTGTAGTACATCTGATTCAAAGACAAACAGGGTACATGTTTGGTGTACTGCACACTTAAAATACTCAAAAAAGTTTATTCTAATACTAAAATATTCATTCTCACCCCCATCAGGTGGCCCATAGTGATAGAGAAGCCAATGGACAGAGCGGCAGAACCCAGACGGCCGTTTCGTCTCTCATCTGTGACGGCGAAAACGCAAACCACCAACTGCAAGGTGAGAAACACCTCCACTGTAGTCGCCATGCCGAGACTCATGCCGGGCTGCAGCTGCAGAGACATAAACAGGTGCAAAAAAATATTCATAAAGATTTATAAGACTGCAACATAGATATACAGTTCTGTAGGGGCCTGTTAGCGCAGTACTGTGTGCTTCTATATATGTACTGAATACAATGAATAAGATTTCAATACATCAAATTTATTAGATAAATTGATTTTCCATTAAAACACATTTGGACTCTTGTAAAAACCCCAAACTCAAAATGTGCAAATAAATAAATACAAAATCATAATAAAATTAATTCAATAAATAACTATTAAGATTTATAAAAGAAAAAAAAATTTTTTTTTTTTACAAAATAAAATACAATTATTTTTGGGGTCACTCTTACCGTGTTAAGTGCCAATGTGCCTCTCATGTTGTTGGGTGTAACTCCATAAAGGGCCGCGGCTCCTGCCATGGCCCCCAGGCACTGAGCGCAGATGTAGAAGAAAGCTCGGGAAAAGGACATCTGAGAGCCGACTAAGTAGGCGAAGGTGACGGCTGGATTGATGTGTCCACCGCTGATGTGGCCGATAGATTGGATGAGAGTGGCAGCAGCAAAACCGAAGCAGAGGGCAGTGTGGAAGACATGGTACGGCCCGGAGGTCCAGCGTAGCGCTGCGCCCATCCCGAAGAACACGAAGAACATGGTGCCGAAAAACTCGGCGAACACCGCCCGCCAGAACATCATAGAGCGGAACTCCCACATCGTGATTTATGAGATCCAACTAAAATTTTAAAAAACGAAGCTTATTTGGAGTTATCAAAAATGGCTAAAGGAAGTGTCTTTGAGGTTGTCCTTTTTAACAAGTACACAAAAAGTTAAATCCTTAGCTTATTGAAAAATATAAACGAGGGCGAAAAGAGTGATGAAAGTCCGCCTAATAGAACTAGCCGCTAGCTAAGGCTGTGTGGGAAGCCGTGAGTAAACGGTCACACATGTAGCCGCACACAGGTCGTCTCTGCCAGCGTTGATTCTCTTTGCCTGCACAACACCCAGACTGCTAAAGAAACATGAGGTGTGTGTGGTTGTGTGTGTGCATGCGTAGAAAATTTGGAGGGTTTTGTCAGAGAGACCTGAACATCGATGCTAAAGGCTAAATCTACACGGCTAATTCTAGATGAGCGACACAGGAGAGGTTACGGAGCATATCCTGCCCACACCTAGTAGAGCTGGTCTGACGGACCACAAAGGGGCCATAGGGGGCATTTATAATGGCCTCGGGGCCCAGCGTGACGACATAATCCCCCCCCCCGAGAGGCAGAAGCTAAAGGGGGCATCCCATATCAAGCACACGCCACTCACTTCTCTCTGCATTAAACTCATAGAGAGCGAGATTAAGACAGGAACACCAGGGTATTTTTTTTTACAAAATAAAATACAATTATTTTTGGGGTCACTCTTACCGTGTTAAGTGCCAATGTGCCTCTCATGTTGTTGGGTGTAACTCCATAAAGGGCCGCGGCTCCTGCCATGGCCCCCAGGCACTGAGCGCAGATGTAGAAGAAAGCTCGGGAAAAGGACATCTGAGAGCCGACTAAGTAGGCGAAGGTGACGGCTGGATTGATGTGTCCACCGCTGATGTGGCCGATAGATTGGATGAGAGTGGCAGCAGCAAAACCGAAGCAGAGGGCAGTGTGGAAGACATGGTACGGCCCGGAGGTCCAGCGTAGCGCTGCGCCCATCCCGAAGAACACGAAGAACATGGTGCCGAAAAACTCGGCGAACACCGCCCGCCAGAACATCATAGAGCGGAACTCCCACATCGTGATTTATGAGATCCAACTAAAATTTTAAAAAACGAAGCTTATTTGGAGTTATCAAAAATGGCTAAAGGAAGTGTCTTTGAGGTTGTCCTTTTTAACAAGTACACAAAAAGTTAAATCCTTAGCTTATTGAAAAATATAAACGAGGGCGAAAAGAGTGATGAAAGTCCGCCTAATAGAACTAGCCGCTAGCTAAGGCTGTGTGGGAAGCCGTGAGTAAACGGTCACACATGTAGCCGCACACAGGTCGTCTCTGCCAGCGTTGATTCTCTTTGCCTGCACAACACCCAGACTGCTAAAGAAACATGAGGTGTGTGTGGTTGTGTGTGTGCATGCGTAGAAAATTTGGAGGGTTTTGTCAGAGAGACCTGAACATCGATGCTAAAGGCTAAATCTACACGGCTAATTCTAGATGAGCGACACAGGAGAGGTTACGGAGCATATCCTGCCCACACCTAGTAGAGCTGGTCTGACGGACCACAAAGGGGCCATAGGGGGCATTTATAATGGCCTCGGGGCCCAGCGTGACGACATAATCCCCCCCCCCGAGAGGCAGAAGCTAAAGGGGGCATCCCATATCAAGCACACTCCACTCACTTCTCTCTCCATTAAACTCAAAGAGAGTGAAATTAAGGAGGGCTCAAAGTGATGGGGATGTATATTTTTTAGGCCTATGGTGGCCTAAAGTACAAAACAGATCCACCAATCAGATTTTGGTGAGGCAGACTTTGAGGTCATGAAATGTCTCATCAAAATATGCTTTCTAAAAGCTTACAAAAATCAGGAAAGTTGTGGATTTTTATCAGAACTTAATGTGGATTTAGGTTTAACGGGCGAGTTAGTGCTGACTTGAACTCACACACAGGCAGAAAACACACACAACACACATCCTCAGAATAATGCCACGCATCTGCACACGCACAATGTCCATCCGATCCCGCGGCTCAAGAGAGGCCCTGCGCTGACAGATGTGACAGATCCAACAGTGTTCAGATACATGCAGCGAAATCCCTGAGCACAGGAAAGCCATTGTTGCTCAGAGCATGAAGCTAACATGAGAAAACATCTATCTGTCTCTCGGGTTTGAGCTGCAGTCTGGCTCACACTCATCAGTCAAGTTTTAAAACCTGAAACCTTAAATCTTCATGGTCACGAAAAAGAGTAACATTGTTTACCAGCGTAATTGTTCTATCTATCTATCGTTCTATCTATCGTCTATATATATATATCCTTTTTTCTTTCAGAAAATTCAGCAGGACTTGGACTCCGTAAACACAATGGTATAAATAAACCTTTTTTATTTTATTTTATATTTATTTATTTATTTATTTTTAATCTGTGCAGTGTGGTTTATGGATATATGATTGAGTGCTGTTGGTGGTTCTGATTTGTTCAGGGCAGAAGTGATTAGGCAGAGGTTTGTATTGTGTGCGGAGCAGATCAGTTGTGGAGGGCCGGGGGCCTCATAGCCGGATAAAGCCCTGGAAAATCCCTCTGTTAGAGGAGCTGATGGTGAATTAGGATCGCTGATCTCATCTGTTTTACTCCCACACTTACACACACACTCACACTCATACACATGCATGCTGAACAAAACAAAATGCTGGCTGGCACTGTGTGGATGTTCTTCATTGTTTAAGTGCATGTGTGTGTTATTAATAGCTGCAATGTATGATTTCTGCATGAATATTCTAGCATGAATGCCAAACACAACATACTGTCTGTGTGCATTTGTGAACTTGAATGTGCGTTTGCAAATTTATATGCATAAAAGGGATTATATGAGAATATTGCCACAGAACATTGTGCATTAGCATGTTCAACATGCTTTCTATAAGAACACAGGGAAGCAAAACTATGTAATATTAGAGTTTATTACATTCTGCTACAATTATACAAGTAGAAATGTGGATCAGAATAATTTGTAGCATAGCATTCTAAACGTGAGAAAACATTTTTGTGTTACGTAAGGAAATAAAAACCAGAGGTTATTGTATAGCCTATGTGCGGGTGTGCTTGTACTCCTGTCTGAAATAATTTACACAAGATTATAGTTTGATATGATTTAAGTACAGGAAGAGTTTAATAATCCCATTATTCATAAATCTGAAAGCCAAAAGTTTGCTCCAAATATATAATTCAACAAAAGATGTAATAACACTATCAACAAACACACTGGTATACAGTATATAACACTTTAAAAACTGTTAAACACTTTCAACTATAGCCATAAAATGAAATTCACACCGAAATTCTGCAGTTATTTGGTTAACAGTGGATTTAGGAAAAAGTATGTAATATTACTGAACCATAATAGCAAGCTCAAGCCACATAGGCATATGTTTGGCACTTTTATATCTACCCATGTGCAAGCTGAGGGTTTTGTACACACAGCATTCAGCTTAATACAGTACTAGGCAGTACTTCTGATCCACAACAGAACATTGTAATATGAAAACATTTTTATAGAATATTTATAGACTTTTATGGAATATTAGATGTTAATGTGCTGGTTGATCCTCTAAACGACGCTGTATCATATTTGATATGCAAATTTACACGGTTTCTGAATTATCACCATGATCAAAGCTTTACTTAAAAAAAACTGTTGTACACAAACTTTCTTTTCTATTTTTAATATTCTGTCTAAATGTTCAACAGTCTGTTCATCTTCAAAAAAAAAAATTCGGTTACACTTTATTTCGATAGTCCACTTTTCCTTGATTAAAAAATGTATAAACTATCAATCAGACGACATAAAGCATGCTTTCACTTTATTTTGATAGTCCACTTGAGACATTCTACTAACTGTAAGTAATTTTGCAACTACATGTCAACTAACTCTCATTAGAGAATAGTAGACTGCTAGGTTAGGGTTAGGGTTAGGGTTAGTAAAATAAGTTGACATGCATTTGCAAAGTTACTTATAGTCAGTAGAATGTCTGTTAAGTGTTAGCAGATATTAATCAGACAGCCTACTAATACTCTAATGACCGCTAGTTGACATGTACTAGTTACTTATAGTTAGCAGACTGTTTGAAGTAGACTATCAAAATAAAGTGTAACCGAGGGATGCAGTAGATTGTGTGCAACAGGTTTGCTAATTTAGAAGCCTTAGAAATGTGTGTATGAAATATGAAATAGTAGGCTTTATGGGGTTAATAGCATAGGCGGAGGGTGAACCAACTCCAGGGTAAGGCTATAAAAGTAGCCAAATGTATTAAACATCATAAACCCGTCTTTTTACGCAAGGACCAGACATGGGTGTCATGTAGGCTAAAAAAAAAAAAAGTTTAATGGGACTGAATTTGTATTTAACGTGATTTATTATTATTTTTTATTATTATTATAATTTAATAAAAACGTTGAAAGAAATTGATAATTATATAACGTTTCTTTTCCACGGCTAATCAAACATGAATAAATTATATAGGCGATAGAAAGTGACATTATCACTAACATTGATCTAACGCGAATTTAAGCACTCTCAAAAAAACAAAAAAATCGTTATAATCACTGAAATCTGCGCTTTGTTGTTTATGACGAGAGAATTCGCAAGAGCCCGGAATTCAGTCAGAGACTATTGAAATAAAGTGTTACCAAAAATTCTTCTATCTCTACTTGCATGGTGCAATTCATGTATGAAGAATCTACACAGATTTGTTCTGTTTCATGAATAAGAGCCATTGATTGGTTGTTTGTGACTAAATGTAAAAACCTGCATTCTTAATCTGCTGAATGTGAGCTTAGCTGTGCTCCAGTTTGTTGCTTTGTTTGTTTCTCATGGCGCTCTGTGTGACAGTGGAGAGGGACGATCGAGACACGCTGGCCGTCTCCACAATCTCAATGTCCTTGCAGGTCAAACAAGCCACCAGCTTCTGTCTGGACGCACTGGGGGCAAAGATGAACTCATGAGACACTCCAGCCAGGACTGCACCTAATATTGGACCAATCCAGTAGACCTGAAAACAACAGAAAGCATAGATACATAGCATTTTAAAAACTGGTAAAAACAAAAAATAACCTTTCACATCAATATTCATCTCATTACTTGTGTGCTAGCAATGCTATGAACTCTTTTCCGATTTCTATAGTTTGGACTGCAGAAGTAAACCACAGGGTAAACTCCTTTTAAAATACATGGGAGACCATGAAAGAACAATGTTGGGGAAAGTTACTTTTAAAAGTAATGCTAGTTACATTACTTAGTTACTTTTTGTGTTACATTACATTTGCTTTACTTTTTAAATCTGGGCTGGGCTGACTTTGTTTTTAATATTAAAAAAAAGTTCTGTTTTTGGCAGATGTTAAAGCACTTTCTCACCAAAAGTGAAATTAATATATAATGAAATGAGTTAAATGTTCATTCACATCTGTACAGTACAGCAGCTAAAACAAAACTTTCAGCTGTGCTGCCACTCTGGACTACATGAAGAATAGGATGCATCATGCAGGAGAAAAAATTCAACAATAAAAATAAAAAATAAATAAAAATGAAACACAAATGTTATGTTTATTAAAATGCTCAACACTGTAAAAACGCCTAAAATGAAATACGGTGCAACATGAGCAGATCTTAATTTAATGCCGCAATCGACACTGTCTATTCATATTCACTTTGTTAGCAACAGACGTAATAGATTTTATTTGTTTGTGCAGGGACATTTTTGTCCAATTTAGTGGCATTTTTGCCCCAAGTCCCCCTGCCCCAGCCTTACACATGCTCCTCCGCCTATGGTTAATAGCCTTAAGATCAGTGGGAAATTTCAGGGTGAAAAAATGAGTATGTTAATCAGAGCATGTCCCATAGTCCCATGCGGTGAAAACCTCTGAACCTTGTTGATGAAGTTCTGTGCTGTGGACTTCAAGGGCAGAGAGAGGTACATGAGGCCAGCTGCGAGGATCCCACCCAAACACTGAGCGAGCAGATAAACCACAGCCCTCAACACATCCACCTTACGCATGGCCAACAGGGCCACAGTCACCGCGGGATTCACCTAACAACAACAGAACACTTAATTACGCTTTAAACTAACCATCCGACATGTTTTTACTTGCACTTTCAGTAATTCTTTAAACAATTCTTCGCATTTATTTTGCAGATCCAAAGCGACAAACTTTGCATTGTGCATTCAAGTTATCATTATACAGTTTTGTGTTTCCTGGGAATTGAACGCATGAGATTGATTATTACCACTATGATTTACCAGTTGAGTTAGAAGAACAAAGAAAGAAAGAAATCACATTTCTTTACCTGAGCCCCACTGATTTCACCAAAGCAATATCCCAGAACCACAGTTGCCATACCAGCAGCCAGTGCGGGGTAAATGGGCCCCGGGGAGGCCCCGTCCGGCCCCGGCACTAAACCAACACAGCTGGGTTAATTGGAGCATCAAAGGTCAGCAGCAAAGACATTGGTTAATAAAATGGAATTAAATACATAAAGGATATTTGTGTTTTTTAACATGTTTAATTATTGCAGGTTTGTGTCATATTCTGAGTTTGCATTTCACTGTTTTGAAGAATACTGAATCTGTTTTTGCACAAGTGAGATATGAGTAAATATACAGTCTAGAACTACAGTAGCATCATGTTCACAGCGCCTCACTCACTCCTGATTTCTCTCAACTGTTCAATTATAAACTATTGTGCTTCTACGACTTTCCAAAAGAGGAGAAAAAAATAAAAGCTTTATTAGAAACCCCATTGTTTTTGTTGTTGTTGCTGTACTGGTGTAATATATCACAAAGTATGTTTTCATAAATTTACATAAAATACATTTTAAAAAATGCAAGTCTGTGAAAAGGGTCCATATAAACGTACTAATTAGCTACATAGAAATGTACCATTTTACAAAAATGAATCAAAAGAGCTGCCTAAAATAGTTTAGTTTTGCTTACCCAGTGATGTTCCCAATATCCAAGTATTATAGCGGGACCAAGAGAGCGAGCTGGGTTCAGGCTGGCACCAGAAAATCTCCCCTAAATCCACACACACACAAAATATTAATTATTATCATTATGTGTATTTGCAATAATACATGGAGAGGAAGGGCAGAATAAAGGGATCATTATTTGTGTAAAAATAATCTGATTAAATCTAATTAAAATTTGCTGACAAAGGGACACTACATTCAGTGTTCCTTTAGCTCGACTGTAAAGCACTAGCAATATGCTAGTTGTGCTGCTTAATATTATTGTAGAAACCAAGATACATTTTTGTTTTTGTTTTTTTTTCAGGTAAAGTTCATAACAACAACAACATTTATTTGAAACAGAATTTTTTTGTAACATTGTAAATGTCTTTACTGTAATTCAATCAATTTAATGTAACGTTGTATACATTAATGTATGCTTGCTGAATAAACGTTTGAATTTCTATAGCAAAAGAAAACTTTTGACTGGTAGTTTAGTAATAAAATAAATAGCTCGAATATATTGTAAGTCACTTTGGATACAAACATTTGCCAGTTACATAAATGCAGATTGCAGCAGAAGCTGCCATACAAGTTTGATGAGGTATATTATGCAAAAGTAACAGTAATAGTAAAATGATAATATAGCTGTGTACACCAAACATGGACACATCAAAACATATCAGCAAGTTTATACCAGCAGCCAGTGCGGGGTAAATGGGCCCCGGGGAGGCCCCGTCCGGCCCCGGCACTAAAGAGCCCAACACAGCAGATACAAAGACCAGAGAACCAAGAGTTTCTGCCAGAATCCCCTGCCAGAACTGACGGCTCCTCAGCTCCTGGTGTGAGTCGACAGAAGAGATAGAAACGAAAAGATATAACTGGCATTAAACCTGTGACTAATTCACTGCTTTAAGGAATATGAAACATCTTCAAAAGCCAGCGAACAGTTTATGCTCATTTACATGAATAATACACAAACACCCATGTTTATGTATTTCTTTTTATATCATATTTACGTATTTTTGTAAAAAAAAAAAATGATAATACAACATGACTTATTAGATACAGTAAATATTTTTATTAAAAAATGTTGCAAAGTAAATGAACATTCTCAAAACGCCCACAGAGCAAAACCTACACATTTTTAGTTAAAAAATTTCAATTTAAGATACAATGACAATATCTTGATGCAAACTATTTTGAAATAAACTTCCAACTACCATAATTGAAGAAATGGCATACTGTTTAAATATGTTTTTACATTTACTTACGTTTACACAGACACTACAAAAAACGGCCACAAACATTACAATTCTAAACATTATAATTAATAGTTTTTAATAACATTATGTTAATGTTTATCATATATTATAATCTTAATATCTTCATAGTCTCATATAGTCACATTTAACAGATTAAAGCTGGACGATAATTTAGTTTACATTTTGCGATGATACAAAACAAACAAATCCAACAAATCTTTTTGAAATCCAGATGCAACATCACCATACAATCCATTTATTACAAAGACATTAAACTTAAATCAGCTGACTGGCATTTCATCATAAGCTCACCCTAAAACCTGATCATTCACACTGGATCCACATCTCTAGCGATTAAAACCTTGCCATTCAGTGTCTGTTCTATTAGTCCTTACCTCTTTTATTGCCATTCCAGGTGTGATGTTTTATAGTCCGTCTGTGTGCTGATGTTGGTGTGTGTTTGAGGACATGGGCTGGACTGAAGGGTGTCTTCTGTCAGAAAGAGCCTAATTAATTCCAGTGGAGGAGACTACAGGAGGCCCGGCACAAAGGGATCACCGCCTCCCTCCGTCCCGCTACACTCTTAGCACTGCTTACACGCTGGCAAACCTCACCACAGCATGATCACAAACACATTGGACATGTCAAGCTTTAATTCACTATAACAACAACAACCCTTGGCAGCAGTCGCTAGATGCAACAGGTCGCTCACTGCTCGAAAGACAGCAACCTAAACTGTGAGACCAATAAGACACACTGAGGTTTTTCGGTTTATCATTATCTGCCACTGTTGGGTTTCAATGCCAACATCCTTCAATTATAAACCAATGCAAACACTAAGCGCACACATATTTTATCCACCGTTTCTTTCCTTTCATCATCCTGCCTGTGAAGTACTGTGATCATCGCCATGGCGACAGCCCGATTCAGGCTTTTATGGCTCATGTAGTATGATATAGAATATGGAGCTCATACATGAGGTGAAAAAAACACCTATATTTTATTCAGAGGTCCAAAATGAATGAAATTATGCAGTTTGGTGCAGATGCTGATATTTAAATGGTCAAAAAGTAAGATGAAACTCTGGTAGCTTGTAATGTAACTCAGTGAGATCTTCATAACAGTACAACAGACTACTTACATAAAATACATATAAATATCAGTTGGCACTCTATATCTCTCAATAATATGTCATATTAAGATATTTAGATGTTTAGTTTCATGTCAAAGCTCTGTAGTTTTTATTGTGAGGCAAAACACATAATGCAGTGCAATACAATGATGATTGAGATATGAACAATAAACGTCCTCAAAAGCCTAATATATCATATTTGATGCTCACATTTTAACATTTTTATAAAAAATTTACATTTACTTACGTTTACACAGACACTACAAAAAACGGCCACAAACATTACAATTCTAAACATTATAATTAATAGTTTTTAATAACATTATGTTAATGTTTATCATATATTATAATCTTAATATCTTCATAGTCTCATATAGTCACATTTAACAGATTAAAGCTGGACGATAATTTAGTTTACATTTTGCGATGATACAAAACAAACAAATCCAACAAATCTTTTTGAAATCCAGATGCAACATCACCATACAATCCATTTATTACAAAGACATTAAACTTAAATCAGCTGACTGGCATTTCATCATAAGCTCACCCTAAAACCTGATCATTCACACTGGATCCACATCTCTAGCGATTAAAACCTTGCCATTCAGTGTCTGTTCTATTAGTCCTTACCTCTTTTATTGCCATTCCAGGTGTGATGTTTTATAGTCCGTCTGTGTGCTGATGTTGGTGTGTGTTTGAGGACATGGGCTGGACTGAAGGGTGTCTTCTGTCAGAAAGAGCCTAATTAATTCCAGTGGAGGAGACTACAGGAGGCCCGGCACAAAGGGATCACCGCCTCCCTCCGTCCCGCTACACTCTTAGCACTGCTTACACGCTGGCAAACCTCACCACAGCATGATCACAAACACATTGGACATGTCAAGCTTTAATTCACTATAACAACAACAACCCTTGGCAGCAGTCGCTAGATGCAACAGGTCGCTCACTGCTCGAAAGACAGCAACCTAAACTGTGAGACCAATAAGACACACTGAGGTTTTTCGGTTTATCATTATCTGCCACTGTTGGGTTTCAATGCCAACATCCTTCAATTATAAACCAATGCAAACACTAAGCGCACACATATTTTATCCACCGTTTCTTTCCTTTCATCATCCTGCCTGTGAAGTACTGTGATCATCGCCATGGCGACAGCCCGATTGGCCTGATTCAGTTGCCATGACACCTATTATGATGCTAGACGGCTCTTTAAAGTGGCCTGTTTCAGATGAGCTAAACATGCAATCAGGACCTTCTGTTGGCCTTTAGACTGAGAGGTATTTTAGTTCAATTCAGTCTAATTCATCAGATCAAATGAGGCTGATGGAGCTTCACTGAAACGTGTTTTATTTCTATTAACTTATACCACAAAGCCATTTGCACTGCGTTCTTTTGTCACTTAATATTTTATTTTGGTGCGACAATCTATCTTAAATTACTTAGTATATAAAACCATGACGCACCAAAACCGAAACGTTTGTGTTCTGTCCTACTGGTGATTAATCTAAAAAAAAAAAATGCAAATTTTGCACATGCAAAAACCAAAAACAAACAAACCAAAAAATAAAAATAGATTTAAAAAATACAACAATTTGCGTAAATAAGAAATTCAAATCTGGTGCGAACATAAAGCTAATTGTTCAGATATCTGAACTTATAAGAGCTGAGCCAGAGTGATTGAGAAAAAATATTATTTCGATTTTTTTTTCTTTATATTTTCAGTATTTTAGAATAGTTTTGTTTGTTATATTAATTTTGTAATGTGCTTTTTTATTTATTCTTCTTTATTAGCTGTCATATTTGAGATATTTCTATATATCTTTATTTTTTATTTCAGTTTGAGTCATTTTAGTATTTCAACTTAATTTTGTGTCAATTCGTTTCATTTTTTTTTTTTTAAGTTTAGGTTTTCATCTGTTGTTTCATATTTCTGTATTTCAGTTACTGAAATAGTTTTAGTTAACAATAACAACACTGCCACCATGGTAATACTACTATTATGCATAAATATTTAAACATTTCATTTTGTGTCATTAGAAGAGAATGTGTTAGATGTGTGTATTTCTCTGCATTAAAACACAATTTCACAAGTTTGATTTGTGGTGAAATTTGACGTGGACATGTTCTTGAGTTTTCGTGAGAGTCACACACAAGGTCAATGATCAGTTGTGAAGAAAATGTGTGAACAATGATGTTTGAATACATCTGCAGCCTCTCAACATTCGTCTCAACACACTTCTGGGGCAGAGCTCTTGCAGGTCAGAGTGGAAGTTCAACTTCTCGGACTAGATCAAGGTCAGCATTGCCTTAGAGAGGTCAGGGGAGCAGGGAGTGTGTGTGCGTCCCGTTCGTAATCCACTCCATGCTGGTGGTTTGTGGAGCAGTGATCCCCTCTTTTGTGAACCTAAACCCGGCGTAGGCCAACGAGGGGAGGTCGATTTGACAGTGTAGAAACCCGCCTGCGCAACTTTTTTCTACACACAGAATGCTGACACCAACAGTACACACACACACACAGAGAGAGAGAGAGCAGCCGGAACCACACACAAGCACCAAACTGCCAGCTAAGGGTTACTAGAAAAGAACAAGACAGAAGAGGCTAAAACAGGGTTAATAACAGTGAATGTACAGCAAGACAACTAGAGCAAGATAAAGAGATTTCAAGGATTTGGAAACCAGCCACGCATTCTTAAGTCACAAATGCAATGTAATTTCATTTAAACAACAAAACATTGAATAACCGGTCAACAAATGCTGCAGCTTTTCTCAGAGCTAACTTCATGTTTCTAAGCCATTTGTCCAATAACGTTTAACCAGCTGGTGTCAACATGATTCTAGTGGATGCATAAAGTCAGTTCTCCTCAAGTTCACATAGGTATGGAGAGCCACATTAACTATGAACATGATACACTAATGTTTGACAACCAGAAAGTGTCACAATACTTTGGCCATCATTTGGTCAGACATCAAATATTTAGTCTTAATAACTATTTATTATTATATAATCTTAAATATGAATACAGGTGAATTAATACTTTTTACATTTGACTAATTTTACTTTCAAATGTATGTTTTTAATACATAATTAAATACATTTATTAAATGATTAATAGCTTTTTAGCTTTAAAAAGATGCTTGTGTTATCCTTGTCAAATAAATGCCACTTTTTTTATCTTACAATTCGGACTTTTTTCGTGCTATTCTGAAAAGAAGAGTTTAAATTGTAAGTCACAATTGCAAGGAAAAAAATCAAATTTTGTGAAATAAAAAGTCATCTTTTTATTTATTCCATGGCAGAAACAAGCTTCCAGTTGCATCAGAAATGTGCTTTATAAACAAATGAACTCCAACTCTAAAATATGTCAAATTCTATAGGGTTCAAATAATAGAAAACTGCACGATCAGAATTCTTAATTATAAAAACACATTAAAGTCTCTCAAATGCTGGTTTCCAGTTATAAAGGATTTGCTAATTAAAACAGTGACTACAATATACAGCCGAAAATCAGACTCTGAAACGAGTTATTTGTGTACTTAAAGGCAAGTCATTTTCAAGTACTTTTGACTATTGGATTTGTAGAGTAAAACGTGAATACTCAGAATTGCTATTATGTCTATTTTTCTGGCTCATCACTAAAATTCACCAGGGCCCTGGACAATATGGATGGGTATTGAGAACAAGGACATGATATCATGATATTTAGAAACTGTACAGAAAGGTGAATTGTCAAATGAAACAAATACAGTAAGACTCTAAACATAAAAAAATGAATATTCAATTCAAGTTTATTTGTACAGCGCTTTTCACGATACAAATCAAATTTGGTAGTTTTGTATGTTGGTTCAGGGTTGGCATCCCATGGCAGAAACAGAGAAGCAAATAGAGAAAAAGCGTAGGTGCTGTTCAAACCAAGCAAAAAAATGTTTTAAATGTGTTCAAACCAAGCAAAGAATAATAATGTGCATTTGATCAGATATAACTGCAGTACAAGATTATGAGATGCATTATTTGAATGCTTGGCCAAAGAGATGTGTCTTTAATCTAGATTTAAACAGAGAGAGTGTGTCTGAACCCCGAACGTTATCAGGAAGGCTATTCCAGAGTTTGGGAGCCAAATGTGAAAAAGCTCTACCTCCTTTAGAGGACTTTGCTATCCTTGGTACTACCAAAAGTCCAGAGTTTTGCGACCTTAGGGATGGATATAGTATTGAATAGTTCCAGATATGTAAAAGGGGATCGTCCTGGTCTCCAGTAAAGAGAGCAGCAGGCCCAGCTGGGACAGACAGCAGTCTGAGCTGTGCCATGTGCTGCAGACACCCGGTGCTCCGGGGAGCTGCGCGACACAACGCGTGCAGACGCGCTCCGACCACCTGCTGCTCGCGGCCATGAAGAGCACAACCAACACAACACAGCACTCTGCTCTACACCAGTGAATCTCAACCTTTTGGCGTACCGGACCCCAGTCCAATTCAGAACCATTCTCAAGGACCCCCAGAACAAAATTGACTCATCTATGTATCATTTGTGTCTTTGTGAGGACCAAATACAGTCAATTATAATTCAAGTTAGCTGACTTGTCCAGTATTTGGCCATATCATCAGCTATATTGGATTTTTCTTTCATGGGAACATGTCATGTCAAAATATACAAAATTTATACAAAAATTCATACTTTATGTGGACCCCCTGGCCTTACGTCAAGGACCACTAGGGGTCCACGGTTGAGAAACACTGCTCTACACAATACAGAACATTCCCACTCTGCCGGACACAATTACTAAAACCTGGTTTGTTCTGATGACGCTAATGGTGTGGAAACTTTTCTAAAATCCCCACTCCAAAAGAATAAAAACAGTGATTTTCTCACCAACCTTCGCGGCTCTGCCTTTCAAGAAATCGTAACGTCAAACAGTCAATCGCAGCTTTTTGGATACCGGGAGTAATGCAGTTTTCCGTGACTTTTTTCGCTGTAAACTCCAAATATTGGTAACCAAAAAAAATAACTATTTAGAATCAGAATGAGAAAGAGCTTTATTGGCAAGTATGTTCGCACATACAAGGAATGTTCTGGTGACAGAAAGCTTCCAGTACACAGAGACAACAACACATAGATTAAAAAAAAAAAACTAACCCAGCTCTCTGTTCCTAGCTCTATCTGCCAGTGGACCACCAGGTTTCTGACAGATAGGCAACAGCTAGTGAGACTGGGGAGATTTATGTCAAACAGCCACACCATCAGATTCAGCACTGGTGCCCCCCAGGGATATGTGCTCTCCCCACTGCTCTTGTCCCTTTACACCAACGACTGCACCTCTACTGACCCCTCTGTCAAGCTCCTGAAGTTTGCAGGCGACACTACAGTCATCGGCCTCATCCAGGACTGTGATGAGTCTGCTTATAGAAGTGAGGTTGAGCAGCTGGCTGTCTGGTGCAGTCTTAACAAACCTGGAGCTGAGCACGCTCAAAACAGTGGAGATGATCGTGGACTTTATAAAATAAGATATGTGAATAAACTGCACATATGTATATGTATATGTATATATATATATATATATACGTATGTGCAGTTTATTCACATATCTTATTTTATAAAGTCCACGATCATCTCCACTGTTTTGAGCGTGCTCAGCTCCAGGTTTGTTAAGACTGCACCAGACAGCCAGCTGCTCAACCTCACTTCTATAAGCAGACTCATCACAGTCCTGGATGAGGCCGATGACTGTAGTGTCGCCTGCAAACTTCAGGAGCTTGACAGAGGGGTCAGTAGAGGTGCAGTCGTTGGTGTAAAGGGACAAGAGCAGTGGGGAGAGCACATATCCCTGGGGGGCACCAGTGCTGAATCTGATGGTGTGGCTGTTTGACATAAATCTCCCCAGTCTCACTAGCTGTTGCCTATCTGTCAGAAACCTGGTGGTCCACTGGCAGATAGAGCTAGGAACAGAGAGCTGGGTTAGTGTGGTCTGGAGGAGTGCTGGGATAATTGTATTGAAAGCCGAAGTGAAGTCCACAAACAGGATCCTCGCATAAGTAAAATGTTGTAGGATATAATGCAGTCTCATGTTGACTGCATCATCCACAGGCCTGTTTACTCGATAAGCAAACTGCAGGGGGTCCAGTAGGGGTCCAGTGATGTCCTTCAGATAAGCCAACACCTCAAACGACTTCATGACAACAGATGTAAGGGCAACAGCTCTGTAATCATTAAGTCTTGTGTTAAGTCAGGGTCGTTTGCTGAAAACTGGCTTTCCAGCTTTTTAAAGTAGCTCCTCTTAGCCACTCTGATCTCCTTTGTCAGTGTGTTCCTGGCCTGTTTATACAAGACTCTGTCCCCACTCCTGTATTCATCCTCTTTGGCCTGACAAAGCTGTCTGAGTTTTGCTGTGAACCACGGTTTGTCATTGTTGCATGTTAAGACTCCTGTATTCATCCTCTTTGGCCTGACAAAGCTGTCTGAGTTTAGCTGTGAACCACGGTTTGTCATTGTTGCATGTTAAATAAGTCTTGGTAGGAATGCACATATCCTCAGAAACTGATGTATAATGTTATGTCTCTGCACACATTGTAGATTAGCAGACAGAATGTCAGTTCATTAAGCTCACAAAAGGAGTCTCCTCCATTGACATCCATTCAAAACACTAAAGCTGCTTCCACATACATACTGTCTGAATAGGTACTGCATTTGAATTTTTAACTATTTTCAATAGCTATAATTAAGTACCAAGTTTGAATAAGAACTTTTTAACCATTAAAAAAAAAAAGTATGGACTATGTACAAGGGAAGTAGGCACAGGGTAATTCATTCCGGATGGAAACAAGTCTATCAATGAGTCAATGAATCATTCACTCAATAGGTTTGTTCAGGGGGAAAAAAAGGTAAAGTATGTACTTTGGACTATACAGAAGGGAAGTAAAGTATGGACTATGTACAAGGGAAGTAGGCACAGGGTAATTCATTCTGGATGGAAACAAGTCTATGAATGAGTCAATGAATCATTCACTCAATCAGATAATTCAAAAGCACTGATTCATTCAGTTGCTTTGAGACTCAACGATTCTCCATTGACTTCAGATGGAAATATTTTCGGCGCTGAAGAAAAATAGACAAACTCTAATTGTCAATATTGTCTATAAAATATAACTTGCTCAATATTAACTTTTTTGTTGAATTATTGTAGAAAAGCAATATCATACCTGCAATCATGGAAGTGCTGATGTTTGGAGCATTCTTGCTTGCATTATTGCTTAAACATATGAAACTTCATTACCAGCCACAATTCAGTTGATAAAAATTTAGGAGACAAGTTTTCGTTTACTAGATGTGGTTTTATTTCCACTTACAGTACATTCTACAGATGCACGTGTGTTACATTACCTTGAAACAAAATGGTCATTTAATGTCGCCTCTTAAAAACGATATATTGGTCCTAAAAATATAGAAAGGAACAAATTTAAAGTCACAAAAACTGTACATTATTAAAAATTCACTAGACACCACATTTGGTTGAGTTTTCTAGTACTGTCTTCAGGTTTTACCGTCTGTTTAAAGAAAAAAAGCAAATATGTCTCTTTTGTATGATGAGGAACACAAAGTGAATGACGCACGTCCGCAAATCGACTTCAGTGTACGAAAGCCTGGGAAACGAACATGAATAGTGTGCTCTACTGCGCTCCTCTACTCAGTGCACTAAGAAAAACTGTGAACGTGAGGTTGCAAGTGGGGAAATCTTATGGGTCAGTTACACCAGTAATGATGCAAGGCATTTTCATTTGAGAAAGCATGGTTAATGTCAAAAGACGTGTAAAAAAAAAAAAAAAAGAAGTCCTTTTTAAGGGAGTTGGTCCAGGTTCAAACACACACACATTAAAACACATAAAACAGTCTAAACATCTGAGGATGTGACGGTTTCAGAAACCCAACAAATTGCCATGTTCATGAAAAAAAACCAAGAGCAAACCAGATCAATCATACTGAATAGACAGTGAAGATATTGTTCCAATGAAAAATAAGTGTCGCTAAACAAAACTATACAACCGTATAAGTACGTACATATCCTTTCCATATAAACCAATATCAATACAGTCTAAAGTTTTTTTTCCCCCACAGACAATAGTCATACATCAAGCAAAAGCTTTGAAAACGGCTATCTAGCTAGCAGAGCTTAAAAACAAGAACGTTAAAATGGGCCTTTCGTTGTAACGGTTCTGCTGTTGGCATTACATTATGAATAAACACTGATTTCTTTCTGGGTTTGGGGGGCATGACAGAAAAATTAACCTAGCAAAAGATGGCAATCCTCCAGTTCATAAGACCAATACTCTACAAGCAAAAGACGTGATGAGTTACACGTGATATAGTATGTTTACTGGCCATTTCATGAGTCACCTATACATCTCTCTACGACGTGGTCTGTACAGAATCACTACAGTCTATTGCTATTAAATAATCCCGACTATTTCTTTCTGTCTTTAAGTGTATATATAGTATATAATAAAAAATATACTGAGGAAATTGCTTCTAGTCTCGAAAGCACGTTACATTTTCAGTCAAGGGGACACACCTGGTCCACGACCTATACACCATGGAGCATAAGGCTTCGAGTATAATGGTCGAAAGAGTGAGAACGTCCTGATAGAGGTGTGTCTGCGACACGTGACATCAAGTGTGACCCGATCAAGTCCTGAAGAAGTACTTCTACTCCAAAGGAGTGACTGATGAAGCTGAATAAAGAGGAGACGTTTGTACGCCGTAATACCAGGTGATGAAGAAATGCTTTAACCTTATCAAGGCGGGTGAGGGGGACAAACATACTTGTAAAACCAACAGAACAAATCTATACATATATCTACACGTGTATGCATACAGAAACTGGAGGGCTGGCTCTCCAGACAGAGTTTTTAGTAGTAATGATCATCAAAGGAGCGGGGCGTTCGAGTGCTTCCTCCCATGCAGCAGAGGGCAGCGTCTCTACTTGTCGTTGTTCTCATAAAACTCCACCCAGCGGCTCTCGAAGAAGCGCCGCATGGAGTGTCCGGCCTTGCCCACCTCCGACGTGTCCTCGTTGAAGAGCTCGCAGTTGTTGAAGACCAGCTGAGCGTCGGCAGCAAACTCCTCACAGCTGCAGTACCTGAGACACACAGGCGTCAACACAGATGCAGCTTTACTTACTAATCAGGTTATTCACAGCCCCAGTAAATCCCAATCACCCAAATGTAATGTCAAGTTTATTTTTCTTTGGAAATTTTTCCAGGTTAAAACATAATATGTAACACAACTAAAACCCACATAAGATGGAACATCAATTTTTAATAAAACAGATTCTGGACTGACTACATTTATATATAATTAATATATTTATATATTGAAATCTTTACAAGAGTTTAAAATGTTAATTATTCAAATTAAATAAAAATAATTTTTATTATTAAAAATAATTTTAAAAATTTGCCAATTTGTAAATTATATTTCAAAGAATTTAAGTAGAAATAATTTTATATTTAGATTAATAAGTTGTTATATTGAAAAACTGCCTTATGTACATACATTGTAATTATAATTATAACATTGTAATTATAATTGAAATTAATAATAATTTTAAGTATCAAAAGCATTAATCTCCATTAATGATGTATTAAACCTGTATTAATAAATGTGAACAGTACAGTAAATGTGTATTGATAAATGTGTGTATGTTGATTTTCAAAGAATATGTGACCCTGGAGCACAAAACCAGTCTTAAGACGTTTAAATGTTTAAACTGGCAAAGCTTACATGAGTTTAGCTTAAACACAGATATCAACGTGTGCTGTGCAGGTCTCACTTGTGCGCGCGCGCTATCAGCACCCGGGTGATGACGGAATAAACGCTCATATTCCAGCATACGGAACCTTTCCACCCCTAATATATATATATATATATATTCATATTCTTTGAAAACCAACATACATTGGCAAATCCAATTACTGGTAAATTTGACATTTTAGATCCTATAAATGACTGTGGGAAAATCTGAATATTAGCTATAAATTATAATTACATAAACATTTCATTTTTTAAATTTTTTAAATATAAATGTTATATTTACAAATATGATTAAAAATGTAATTTCTAACGCAAAACTCAAGTGAAATTGATTATTTGTTTATCTAAACTAATAAACACTATTCCTGAGTACAGCTGATGACTCAGCACTGCTGTAATATTGTGATCAGCCTTTATTTACCCTCCCTGCAGAAGTCTTTCCCTCATAGTGAGGAAGTCCATGGGGGTTTTGATGATGCGTCGGTAGCCAGGCACCAGGCGGGGATTGACCGGCTCCAGGAAAGGCCAGGCGTCTGAGTGAGCCTCCATTTCCATCAGAATGATCCTACAGCACATCAAACAGCTCGCTAATTATTCCATGACAGCCAATAATTATTCCACGCAGTGAATTCATTTAGACTCTAGTCAGAGATGCACCAACAAATTAGTTTTCAAATCACGACAACAGATGTTTATAAATAATAATAATAAATGTTTAATTAAAATTAGATTTCTTTTAAATTCTATTCTTTCAATTTGTAGTTTTATTTTTTATGTGGCACTCCTAGTATTTTGTAAATGCTGTTCTTCACAGGCCTGCAGACTCACTCGCAGTAGGTGAGGTCAGGCTGGTTTCGTGTGGCCATCTGTCTGCGTTTGGAGGGCGAGATGCTCGTCCCGCTCGAGGAAGCTGCAGCGTCTTTTTGTCGTGTGGTCATGCCTCGTCTGTACCCATCATCCTCGTCTGAACTATCCTCTGCAAATCGCCGTTTCCGCACATTCGATCTCTTCCGTGATGAACGCTGTGATCTCGGAGCTTCACCGTTTTCCTGCAAAATTCTGTTTCTTATTTTTCTTATAATGTTTGAATTGCATATTTTTTCTTTGCCTACGTTTATAATATGAATCAGATGGGGCAAAAACAGAAAAATAAATGTTTGTTTGTAAAATTTGAAACCTCTTGGTCACATTACCTTGGCAACGCAGGTGGGACAGAACCAGTCGCCTTCTGGCACCTGCATGACCTTTGGCCTCAGGCAGAACATGTGACAGCCACGATCACAGCCGTCACACAAGAGCAGGTACTCATCATCATCGCCCTTACGGCAGATCTGACATGTCTGTGGACACATGAACAACAGTTTATACAAAACTAGGGTCCTATGATTTCCGCGTTACGGAAAATGTGGACAGAATTGCAAAATCCAGTCATAAAAATGGAATTTACTGTATAACGTGGAATGTCACAGAATTTGTCAAATTTTGGATGAATAAACCAAAAGCAGGTTAGTACACTTAAATCAAATCGTGATATGGACTACAGCCTATGAATATTAAACCACAAAAACACTGCTATTGAAATATGAATCCTGCATATTCTGCGTGTCTCTGTGTGAATGAAAGACTTCTTTACTACACACACACGTGACACTCGCGGTGTTTCAGCGTCTTTCTCTCAATATATGAGACCATCAACTTCATCTCCAGAGCTGCTCTGAGAGTCACTTCACGAACATTTAACCGAAAAACTATCAAACTTAAAGGTCTTCATGGCAACCCATAAAAAATAAGTTTGGTTTAACTTGAAGAAATTGTGACAAATATATTACTATTGTACAGTAGAATGTACATCTCAATGTAATAATTATAATAATAATAATGATGATGATAAAATTATTACAATTTAATTGTTTTAAAAATAATTACACAATTTCTCATCCATGTTTTATTTTTAGCAGTAAACCTTTGTTTTTCAGCACTTTGTCTGCCAAAAGCGTTTTTAATTTTCATTTGATGAAAAAATTAATTAATTAGTTGTATGCCGTCATTTGATTATCAGAAAAAATAAAATACACAACACAATTTCTGGGGGGGGAAAAAAACCATTTCATAGGGCATTTCATTTTATAGAAAAAATTAAAATGGAAAACAGAGATTTTGGTAAAAAATAAAACACACAAAAAAAACATTTCATACAGCCCTAAAAATGTAATTTTCGTTAAACTTTTAATAACTTAGACACCTATTTTAGTGATATCTGTCAAGTATGTATATAAGAAATGATATATAATATATAACGCTGGAACAGGCTCCGAGGCCGAGTGAATGTGTGTATGCTCTCACCACTTTGATGACGGATCTTTCCCAGGCGATGGCTTTCTCCAGCTGCAGCAGACAGAGAGAGAGTTGAGACGCACTGCGGCAGCGGTCCAGGGCCTGCCGCCACGTCTTCAACCTGGGTGTGATCTCACTTTCCAAGCTACAAAGACACACAAACACATGATTGATATGCACATATAATGTACTGTAGAATTTGGAACAATGATTTGTTTTTGATGAAGGCTGAAAAATATGATCACTTTGGGTAAACAATCTCCAAAGCATCATCTTTTTAAAGACCCTTAACTCTGACCCACCTCACAGCATCTAGTGGGACCTCCTCCCCGCCGGGAGGAGGGGTGAGAGGCGCTAAGCGCACCACCTCGGACAGATTCCACAGCGGCTCCTTCAGATAGCGCCGCTCGATGTTCCGCTCCAGATTAGTCAAGCGGAGAACGGCCAGGTCCAGGGGGTTGCTGGGAGCTCGCAGGAGGTCGGACCATTCCTTCTTGGTCTTGACCATCCAGTCATCCTTGGGGTCAATCTCGTGCTCGTAATACTGCAGGTCCTCCCGCGTGGAGTCCGCCTCTGGAGGGGTATACATCTGAAACCAGGACAAGATGTGAATATTACAACAAATTTGATGTCGAGACCTAGGGTAAATTATAATAAAAACCTAATAAATCTAATCTCTCTCTCTCTCTGTATTAGGGATGTGCATCTCCATAACTAATGCATAGCCAACGAAACGATACAATAAAGATACATATGAAGCAGCTACCGATGCGATACGATACGACTCACCCCTATTAAGATGAAGTGCGATCCGATTTCAATTCGATTCAACACAATGCAACACGATACAATGGAAAAAAAATATGATGCTATGCAATTCAATATGGTACAGATAGACTCAGACTCCGTAGTGCTGTGATACATCATATTCACGCAGCAGCAGCGGTGACAAGAGAACGCTCTTGAGAAGCAGTTTAGAGAGGAGAAATCAATCTACATATAAAATATTGGTCACAAATTATTGGTCACTTTCTAAATAATAAAAGTATAGCGCATCTACTGATAATTATATATAAATAAATCGTTTTTTACCGATGCAAATATGTGATACAAATGCCAACTTGTATCCGATGCACACTTTTAAATCGATGCATCAATGTGAATCTGTGAATCTTACTATTCCTAACATATATATATATATATGTCAGGGGCGTTTCCTCTGAAGATGCAAGGGAGGCAGTGCCTCCTTTACCCTAATATTTAAATTTAAATAAAGTTTAATTAATCTGCAATAATGAATAATTAAATAAAATAATGAAATTTATTAATACAGGTTTAAATGTTAATTACTATAACTATTTATTCATTTGAATAAATATTAATAAATTAAATAAATATATTTCATCTCATTATTTTGAGATACAAATTTTTTCATAACTAATCATTTATTGAATGCATTTAATTACATTTTTACTATTATGTATTTTTTTATTACTTATTATTATATTATAAATAATTTATTTTCTGTATAGTGAGGACAGAAAACCAGGGGAAATGGCATCAGGAAGTGATGCCAGACATAGTCGTGAATAAACCGCAACGCTGACAATTTACTGAAACTCTTTGTTTATATGGGATGTGTTTTTGCTCTCATCCGTGAAAAATTACTGAAGCTTATGAATAAAGGAATATCAAAATCATGAGTACAACAATATTAATTATATATATACACAGAGAGAAAGAGAGAGAATAATTGAGACAAAAAATTAATTCAGACAAAAATCACATAGCTGCGAATAAACCACACCTCTGACAATTTACTTTTAATTTAAGCACTCTGAGCAATTCGTCAGGTTGCTTCATACTCATCAAGAGTAATTCACGGAGCAGTTTCCTCTATTAATGGACTCATAACAGAGCACCTGAGTGTGTGCTTTCACTACCTGGAATTGAGAGCATGATGATTCCTGACTAGCCTCATTGTCACTCTCTGCATTGGGAATGGAGACCTGGAAAAGATGATTGTGGACATGGTGATAAAGTGAGTGTGCGTGTGTGCTGCAAATTTAGCATAAACAAACAGTGCCACCCTGTGGTCACTAATGGAGCAAGACCTTAACCCACAGGTCTTCAACCCTGCTCCTTGGGCACCCACGGTCCTGCAAAGATTATTTTCAACCTGCTTCGGCACACCTGCCTGTGTTTTCAAGCAATCTTGAGGAGCAGCTTCAGATGTGTTTGATTAGGGTTGTAGCTAAACTCTGCAGGACAGTGGGTCCCCAGGAAAAGGCCTGAAGTCCTCTGCCTTAGAGTACTGTGATTATTTCAAGGTTTTCTTTACCTTGAGCTGAAGGTCTGCACCGACTACTCTCTGCTCCAGATCTTCCACCCACTGGAGAACACTGATGTCTAACTGCAGGACTCTCTCCTGCTCACTCCACGCCTGTTTAGACGCCTCCAGCAGGGCATCGCCATCCTCCACTGTCATCTGGAAGATGGGATCTGGGAGGAAACAATGGAAAAGAATGCATTAAACATGCCGCCATCAACCAAAGCCTGGAGTCACACTCTGTATGTGCTGCTGCTCCTCACCGGTGACGAGCCGCGTGCAGACCTCGGACAGATACTCCCTGTGTTTGGTGAGGTGTTTGTGGAGCACTTTCTCGCGAATGCCTCGTGGATGGAGGGCGCTCACAATGGCTGTCAGCTCCGCCGGTTCTCTGATCCACCACCAGCCCTTCACCATTTCTGAAAGACAGAAAGACAGTAAGCCAATGAATGCTGCTCTGCTGGAAACCAAGAGTTTTAGAATGTCATTCAAGATACACAAATAACATTTTTCTTGGTGAGTAAACAATATTTAACTATGTAAATGAAGTAATGAATATTATATAATAAATATTTTTCACATTTCTCTGCATTGTACCAATAGAGTATATTATTAAATTATAAAATTAATATAATTATTAGCTTCCCTCACAAACTCCCAAAGGTTCACAAAACCAGTTTGGGAAACTCTGGGTTGGATAAAGTTGCCTTGGTGACATACAGTATTTAAACTAAACATAATAAACATCCATCCAAGGACAATTCCCAGGCTCAGTATTTCAGAGAAAACTAAATGGTCAAGTTGACAAGGCTTAGAACAACTTTTAAAGTAATCTATGAATGCAAGATGGCCAAAAACACATTTCATCCTTATTGTCAAGTCCAGCATGACTCCTGTAACATCACGGCACTCACCTAACGGAATAGGCTTCACCACCAGCTGAGTGAAGTACTTCAGTTCCACCTCTTGGAAGAGATTGGAGGGAGGTCTGCCACGCCTCTTCGCCGCACTGGATCGAGAGAGAGCCCGGGACGTCCCGCTGCTTCTCCTGCGCCTCCTACCGGCCCTGGGAGCTGGAGTGGAGCACACCTGAGGAAGAGGAAGAGGAGGAGTCTCCGTCTGCATCTGTGGTTGAGGAAAAAGAGGGAAGCGATCAGAAGGAGAAAGGTTCAGCATTCAGAATATTTATAAACTTTCTGACATTATTCAAGGGTGAACCTGTGTTGTCGGAGGCTGCGGAGGAGGAGGAGGAGCGAGCGGGTCACTATCGAGGGGTGCTGGAGTGTCTTCAGTGGGGGATGAAGCAGACGCAGGTGTGTTCTCGCACGGCTGGGAGATCGACGTCTCGTCGCACGGCTCCTTGGGCAACAGATTGAACCACTGGCCTCGTTTTCCTGCCTGCTCCCTCATGCTGTCCTCCGGCTGGCTGTTATCCTCGCCCTGACCGGCTCCAGATGCTGTGATCGGCGCGCTGCCGTCGGCCTCTGCGTGCTGCGGCTGCTCGAGAGGCGTCTGGAAAGCGAACTGAACAGGATCCTGCACGGGGGAGTTGAGGGTCGAATCCTCAGCTGCTGATCTGCTGCTACGGCGGCGCCGCCGGTTCTTGGCGGTTCGCAGGTGGAGCTCCACTTCGGGTTTGATCTTGCGCGGGCGTCCCCGGCCTCGAGGGCTGCTCATCAGAGAGGCCTCGCCGGGTAGAGGATCCGCCTCTGTGGGGGTAAGCTGGGACACTCGAGGAGAAGAGGGGAGATGCGCGCCGAAAGCCGGAGAAAGGGGAGGCTCAGCTTTAACCTCTGTCTTCACTGGGGTTATGACCTTCACATAAGTCACAGGTTCATCGCTGACCGTCACTTCACCTGAGGCTGAACACAAGGAATAAATAACTGGACATTAATATGGGTAACAAGTAGGGCTGCACAATGATGCTTGCAAATTAATAAATTCAGACAGCCACAAAGTATTGTAATTTACAATTTCTTTTTTAATTTTACAGTTGTAATGTAAAAATTCCTTTATTTTATATAAATTATTTAATATAACATTATATACAAAATTAAATAAAAACAAAATATTACTGTAATATTTATTTAGTTTTTTAGTTAATTTTATATTTTATTTAGTTCCGCTACTACTAATAATAAATTATCATTATTATTATTAGATCATCACAAAATTTTTGCCAAACTGTGCAGCCCTACAAGCAAGCACAGCAAACCTGAATATTTTTAATTGCATTAAATATTAATGTGGGTAACAAGCAGAGCTTCACAATTAAGTCTAAAAATGAAGAAATTATTCATATATACACAGCAGTCAACATTTTATATATATATATATATATATACACACACACACACATACATGCATGTACATATTTAAGAAAAATATATTATATTTATATATTAAATATATTTATATATAATATAAATTGTGTGAATATAAATATAAACATGTAGATACATGTAAATATTTTCAAAATATATACTGTATGTGTGTGTATTTATATATGCATATAAATAAATATACACAGTACACACACATATATATTATGTAAACAAAAACTTTTATTTTGGATGCGATTAATCACGATTAATCGTTGCCCAGCACTAATATATCACATACAGGTGTGATGTCAAAAAAATTATACCATTTTTTTCTTAAATACTCTTTTACAGTATTTATTTTTATTTTACAGTAAAATAGCAATATTTCTTATTTTGTTTTATAAAGTTAATTTAATGTTTTAATTGGTGGTGCTACTACTACTTTTAATAGTAATATTAATAATTATTATAAATAAGAATAATAACAAAAAACATTTTTTATTATTATTTTATAGCCATGTTAATGTATAAATCATTAAAATTGCTAAATTGTGTAGCAACAAGCACAGCAAACCTGAATTTTTTTTTAACTGCAATTGAGATTAGCAAAAAAAAAAAAAAAAAAAAA